GAGCTATCCACCTTTCATGTGGACACAGGTAGCATTAGCATAGACTGACAAATGTGTCAGAATTCTACAAGACTGATAAATAGACTGGGGAAGTTTATGCAAATTCACATTTTCAAATACAAACGGGACAGAATTTTGGATTATGCACTCGAGACTTTACTACGTTCGTAATAACACATAAATAGTATTAAACTACATTAATATCTTCGTTTTATTGCATTTTCCAAGTTAAGGAATCCTATAAATGCACAAACATCCGCAATCTACTGATAAGTACTGACTAAAATACGAAAATTCGAACGGACCACACCCTTAAATTTCGAGGATCAAATCGTTCATGCAACTGCACTCGAGCAGGATCGCCTCGGACGGAAGCATTTAACGCGCGCACGATTGTCTCTTTCTCTAACAACTATTGCAATACTGTAGTTGGTGGTATTTATTCCAAGTGACTATTGCGAACTATGTTCAACGGACTATTACTTTAACGTGAGGATGGAGCGGGGGATAGACCCTGCGTGGGGTTGACGGGGTCTTTCTCACGGGGGGATGTTTCGTGTAAAAATATTCATATGTATATATGTACAATCGGTATATACATATATGCTTCTGTTCTGTATACATATATATATATATATATATAACTATATATAAATACTGTCGTAGAAAACTATGATCTGCATCACGGGGGCGGGAAGGGATGAATATTTGTGGTTCATCGTCAAATGTTACCCCGCCAACCCCTTCAACTATATGCTCTCTTAACCTGTATATAACGTGTGTACGCGTGTACCTCTAGCTTTGACGAGTATATACTCGTGTTATTATTTGTCAGTGTGAACGTATGTCTGTGTATGTATATGTGTACATATGTATATTACAACGCGACAATTGGTGAGACTGTCGCGTTCCTATTCGTATGTAAAAAAAAAAAAAAAAAAAAAAAAAAAAAAAAAAAAAAAAAAAAAAAAAAAAAAAAAGTCTATCGACGAGATCACTGTTCTTCGTCAACGAGCGAATCATCGACGCCTGATGGATCCGTTGACGATCGTCATGGGGGGGGTGGGCTTCGATTTGGATGGGAGAGTCACTTCCTGTATTATATCACTACTTTCCACCGATTTTCAATGAAGTAAAAAAAAAAAAAAAAACGAATGAATGTATCAGACCTGATTAATGTAAAATGGCACCAAGAATAAACGATTCGATTTTCTCCCTTCGTTACGGAACGATACCATGGAAAACCTGTTTTTTTTTTTTGCTTCCCTCCTTCGAACATCGTTTCTCTTTTTTCTTTTTTGTAGATTTTCTCCTCCTCGGCGAACACCGCGAATAAATTTGTACTCTGTATGATTCTTCTTTTTTTTTTTTTTTTTTTTTTTTTTTTTTT